ACTCGTGCCTGGTGCCATCGCTGTGGCAGTCCACCCACCCACAGCCCTTCTGTCAGGGAGCAGCTCTGATGGTAGAGTTTAAGCCAAAGTTTGCCTTCTGCTAATCCTACCTGTTGATCCCAGGCTCTCCAGTCTTGTCCACATGACAAGGCCTTGGTGACCGTATCTGGCTTGGGACTATCTAATGGACAGACTGCCAAGAATTCTACCTCCTCTCATGCTTTTCCTTTTGTTCCTAAACTTAACAGCAGAAATGCAAAGTGTACACGGGCTTCTCAAGGTCGGACACCCATTCAGCCAACAAATATTTGTTTTGCACCTGCTCCACGCCAGGATCTGAGCTAGGTGCTGGGGATATAGCAGGAAACACAACAGACCAAAAGACAATCTCTGTCTCTGGGAGACTACCCTATATTCTTTTGGGGGAGAAGAAATAGCAATTAATAAACAAATATACAAGTAAAATGTATGGAAGTGTGGAAGTGTGAATGGGCAAGAAAGAGGAAACATGACTGTGATTTAAAGAGCTTGTCACCTCAGAGAAGAAGTAGGACAGGTGACAGATGGAGGGAGCTTCAGGCAATGCTGATGGGGAGTGTGTGTGTGTGTGTGTGTGTGTGTGTGTGTGTGTGTGTGTACAGCCAACCCAGGTTGCAAGCTCCTCAGCACTTGGACACTGACATGGCCAGCAAATACTTTTCCCGATGGTTGTCTCTCTGATGGAAGGGGTGGGGATGGGCTGGCAAAGAGAAGACAGCTGCAAATCTGTATGTGTGCATGTTGGGAGAGGGCATGGGGCAAGTAAGAAATATATATACATATATGTATCTGTCACCTGGGAATTGCAAATCAGGCTCAGGTTCTAACCTTCAGACGTGAGTTGTTTTGAGGACAAGTCTTGCAAGACTTTTAAGCCTCAGTTTCATCATCCTATTAATGGCATTAATAATAAACGCCCTCTCATGCTCCCCGAAGGGTGGGAAGGATCTTGAATCCCTCCATCCTGGAGTGTGGAGGGTGTTCCTGGACCATCCGAGTGGTCCCCAGATAACTGCTGAGCTGTGCAAACTGCTTCCAGATTTGGGGTCAAAGTCTAAGCCCCGGAGAGGAAGGGAGCCTCCCCGTTCTGTGACTGTCTCGGGCCTGTGCAGGGGGAGCGGCTTCACGTGGTGCACGCTGCACCTGCTAGTCCCCCTCAGCAGAATACACACTTTACACTCAGAACAGGTGAAGCTGTAATGGCTGGTGTTTCCTTAAGAATTTTGGCAAAAAAATAAAAGGGTGGGCAGTCATCGCAACCTCAGGGTTGGTTTTCTGATGTGTGACTGGGGACATTTGCCTGAGATGATGTGTTCAGCAGCCTTCAGTGGCAAAGGGCCTGACTTAGGCCAGCTAAAGGGAGGCCCAAAAGGGGACACTTCACACATCCTCTGAATAGGCGCGTTGGCCTGTCTGGCTCTGCACTCTCTGAATCTCCTGAATTCGGGGGAATTCTCTGGGGTGGGGTGGGGCTGGGGGTGAACTGTGGTCTGCTCCCGGCCCTGGGAGGCGTGTGAAGTGAGCACGGAGAGAGACAGGAGGAGGCTGCCCATCTCAGGGGCAAGGGAGCCCCTAGGGAGAAGGTTCGTTGTGCTACAGTAACTGGAGCAGGAAGCAGAGGCAATGCCGTCTTCCTGCGCGCAGGGTCTGAGTGCGTCTCTCCCCGCACGCACGGTGTGTCTGATAGGGACGGACGGCTGCACAGTGAGAACGCCACGATCCGCTCTTGGGAGACGGAGTTGGTTTCATGGGACCCGGCGAGGCCCAGCAGGATGGGGCCGGGCTCGAGGCCCTGATACCCGCTCCTTTGACTTTTTCCTGTGAGCGTCAGGACTCACCACCCCTCCTGCATCTTGCAGCTGGCTGTTACTACCGTCTCCCTGTTTGATTTGCTCAATTTCTGTTTAGCTCACTGTTTCACACCCGCACTGACAGTCTGCCGTCCCCCCAAGGCGCTGGGACACGTGCCAGGCAGTGAACTCAAATGTACAGTTAAATACCACTCGGCTCTGCGTCATACTCTCATTCTGCCTCTTCCTGGCTGCCCCGGCAGTGGGGGGCCGGGCTGAATTGGACCTTTCCTAGAAATGTTTATTCTGAAAATTTCACCCCAAAGTAGAAGGCTTGGTACAATAGACTCCCATGTACCTGCCACCCAGCTTTAACAATTCTCAGCATGTTGCTGATCTTGTTTATCTAACCTCATATACGTTAATATGTAAAAATATTGGTTTTTGCTGAAGCATTTTAAGGTACACCCCAGACATCATGCCATCTCACCCCAAACTACTTCCGTTTGCATCTCTAATGCATAAGGAAGCATTTAAAAATAACCAACCACCATGCTGCCATCGCATCTAATAAAATTAGCAATAATTCCTTATCCTCATCTGAAACGGAACCCACATTTAAATTTCCCTCCCTGTCCCAGAGTCTGTTTTTTTATAGTTGCTTTGATCTGTATCTTGGAACTCAAAGAGGTTTGCTGAGCAAATTTAAAGTGAGCGGAATTCTAATAAGAAGTTTAACCTTTATATTAAATAGTTAGGGCTGTTTTCAGGCTTTTTGGAGAATTGGCTGACATTAAATAATGGGCTTGTTATATAAGAGTCTCAATTCTTTTGGCCACCAGGTAAGAACGGAGGCCCTACATTGTTCCCAATGCTGCACACGACGGTGGTCATAACTTTGAATATGTTTCTTCTCTCTTCATTTCCCTCCTCCCTCTTCCTTTGGGAATCTTGTACTTCCCCCATCTCAGAGCACGCCTCTTCCTGTCCTTGCTCTCTTTCCGTGTCCACTTTCTCTGGCTCTTGGTGGTTCCTGTGCCTCTCTGCGACTTTGCTTCATAGCTCGCGCAGCATCCAAACCAGTCTCCGTTTTCTTTGCGGTTGCCTCACTCTGCGTACCTCCAAGAGCAAAGCCTGAGACGAGGAGGTACAGGAGGTTTACGTGGGAGGGCTCCCTGGGAAGCAGGAGTGAGACTGGAGACAGTGAGGCGAGGCAGGGGTAGAGCCAGCAAAGAGTGGGAGAAGGCACCTCACAGCTGTGGATAGTGGGAGGCTGGGCATTTGCCCACAGACCCCAGTCCGCACTGGTGGGGACTCGCTGCCCAGGGAGTGGAGGGTGGACCTGAGAGCCCAGGGGCCAGCAGGACGAGGCCCACGTGGTGGGAAGAGATGGGCAGTAGCAGGGACTGTCCAAGAGTGAGAGGTGGGACTCAAGATCTTCCCGCGCTAAGCCATGCACTTCACGGGACTCCAGAGAGCAGGAGATGTGGTGGTGGGTATATGTTTTCTATTTTTTTTACACATTTGTTTTGTTTTATTGATCTATTGATTTTTCTGAGCGTCTCATGGTGGGACTCTGGCTCCCACAGTCTTAGCCCACGCGCTTTACATGGGGCTTTCCCATCCTTGGCAACGGGTGAGCACGTGACGCAGGCCTGGCCAGTAAGGGCCCTCGTGGACATGTTTGCTGGCACTACTGGCCGACAGTCACTGTCTCCCATGCTCCCGGAGGTGCCGGAGGCCATCTCCACCACTGGGAGAGGGAGAGGCTGCCTGAGGAAGAAACAAGTGCAGAGTTAAGAGGGTAAGAGATGGACCAGGGCCTGGACTTCTTAGCAACGTGGGCCAATGCATCCTCTCTGTTTTAATTTAGGTTGGTTGCCTTGGGTTTCTGTCACTTGCGGCTAAATGAGTCCTGACTGTTACAGAGGCCAGCCATGTCCCCAACCTGCCAAGTAACCCACTGAGGCTGCTCCACCCACACCCAGCAGCCTTCTGTGGTCTCCCCTCATGCAGGAACTTAGGGCCCCTGTCCCCAGCTAGTACACAGGTGCAATGGACTAAATGTGTCTCCCCAGAAATCACCTTGAAATCCTAACCCCAATGTGATGCTATTAAGAAGGGAGGCTTAGGGATGTGTTTGGGTCATGAGGGTGGAGCCCAAGTGCATGGGATTAGTGACTTGAGAAAGGGGACCCCGGAAAGCTCTCCTGCTCAGTGTCTTCCACACTAGGTTACGAGGAGATGGCACTCTCTCTTCTGTAATCCCAAAGGGGGCCCTCGTGAGAACCTGACCAAGCCGGCATCCTGCTCTACGACTTCTGGCCTCCAGAACTGTGAGAAATAAATGTCTGTTGATTAAGCCACCCAGTCTATGGTACTTTCATAGCAGCCTGAACTATGACAGCAGGAAAGGATCGAGAGCTGTTATCCATACTTATTGTGAGTTGACATCCATGTGTTCCTTGGTCCAGGGTCACTGACATTTAAGCCTGTTGCTAATTGGAATGGGAAGGGAGGAAACGGTCACTCAAATCCAGACATTGTGCTGAGTCATCTCATTTAACCCTCAGAGCAACCAGCAACTTTTTGGAAGAGGGGAGGGTCTTTGAAATTGCTCACGGAAATGATTGCCTTTTGGGGGGGCAGCCCTCCAAGTTCCCCGATTTGGGAGACACTGTCAGATCCTGTGTGCAACTGCAGGGTTGGCTGTGCTCTGTGCCTGCAGCAAGGAAAGTTCCCTCTTTTCTTCCACTCTACACGCCTGCTTGGGTCTATGTTATTGGGCTATGTGGGGTTTCTTTGGTTTGATTGTTTGCATGGATTTCTGTTGTTGTCGTTGTTCTTTTTTTGTTTTATAAATAATTTGGTGCTTCCCAAGGCTGACTCGCAGCACGACACTGACTGGTGTAGAATGTGCTCGTTGCCAGCTCTGGCTCCAGAGTAATCCTTTTGCCTGAATAACTGGCGGCTGGCTGTGGCCAAGCCCGGGCGGAGCTGACCCCGGCGGTGGATGGGGGCCAGCCAGGCCTTGCCCTGTCACACACAAACAGCTCTCCCGAAGCCCCTCTATGAAAAGCAACAGGAAACAAAGACTAGGGGGCAAAGTTAATTTATTTAGATTTTTTTTTTTTAAATAAAACAACAAAAAAAATGTAAGTAAAAAAAAAGACAATCATTAACATTTGGGAAGTTTCACACTCTGAGAATGAGCCATAGTGTCAGGTTTTGTGAGCAAAAGGCTTGAGACATCGCAGCCTGATTAGGTGGCCGTGATGATCTGCCGCGTTTCCCAGAGCAGGTCCCACCCTGACCACTGCACAAGCCTCTGCTCCTGGCCTTGTGACTTAACTCTTTTAGTGTCACACTTCTTTCCCCTTCAACATGTCCCTTTATCATGTCCCTTTCTCTCCCATCTCTTCTGTCTCTGCCTTTCGACATAACTCGGTGCTCACACCTTCACCTCCCTGTCTCCACGTACCAAAGCTTCCAACAAAACAGCCTCCACCCTGCAGGCCGTTCACATACCTCACCTCCTTCAAAATCTGCCTCAAAACACCTCTGTTCTAGAAAACATTCTGGTCTTCCTTGCTTCAGCCTCTCTCTCGAGAGGATTACCTGGCTCGAGGGTTGCTCTGGTGGGCAGCAGACGGGGGCTGTAGTCCTGGTCCTGCCGCCTATCGGCTATGACAGTCTTAAATATTTTCTTAATTGTAAAGCCTCAGTTATCCTGGCTACTCAGTAATAGATGCTAACGTGCCCTGAAAAGTAAAAATGCTACGATGTGCAAGCGGGGTTACCTGTGGGCCCCTTCAGCTCATGCCATCTCCCAGCTGCCGACGGTGCTCGGTGCTTGCAGCGCTCCGGCGGGGTACCTCAGCAGCACACAGGTGAGTGAGGTTTGAACATTGGGAATGCAAAGTCCCTGAGGGCAGGACTCGTTTTTAATGTTTACTTGGTGAGCTTCTCGAGCCCATAGCACCAGTCAGGGCTGAGCATGAAGCAGGAAGCAGGAGCTCAGTCTCAATGTTTATTACTTTGATTCAAGTTTCCTTGGACAGATCCACCACCCACAGCGTGACGGCTTCATCACGGCAGCAGAATGGTGGAAAAACCCAAGCCTTCTTGTCCGTCCTACTGAACGTGACCTCCAGGGAAAAGGGGGATCCTGGTGGCCTGGCCTGGGGTCCTGGCATTCACCCAGCAGTGCCTGCCTGTCCTGTCTCAGGACCAGTGGGATTTTTCTTTCCCACTGGAATAAAACTCCCCCCCAGATTGGGTGGGAGATGTGGCTTTGCTTTGGATGAGCCAATCAGACGAGAACTACAATTTGGCCTGCAAACTCCAAGCAGGGACACTGTCAAGTAATAAACCCATAGTGGATCAACCCTGGACCATTTGGAGGGTCACACCAAGGACCCTGCTCTGAGGATCACTGTCTCGAGAGTGGGACCCTCTGTCCCTGATAGGAAAGGCCACTCTGCAGCAGTGAGAGTGGCCAGATCTCACCTCCGTCCCAACGAATAGCCTTTAGCCTCAGCACCTTCCCTCCATGGGGGCTCCCCCAGACTTCAGTGCCCCCGAAAGAGTTATCCTTTGCTACTTACATGGAAAACACCCTAAGTGGTTGCAGATCAGAAAACGACCTCACCTCTTCTAAAGAACCCAACACATAAATATTATTCAGAAAACACATTCTGGATCCTTCTCCTGCCTGCCAACCCCTGGGTGCACATAGCTACATTACAGTTGACAAAATTATCTTTCTTCTTTTTAAAATAACCTGGCCCTTGGATATCTGCTCAGGGCAATGCTATTGCAAGGACTGTGACTTAAAATGCATCACAGTAGAAACAAAACCAGTTACAAGAGAACTAACTTGAGAGCCACCTCTGCCAGCTCTTGCTCAGACAATCCCAGCCCTCAAGTCACTCAAAATGGGTTTGTCTCAGCCAGACCCATTGATGAGATTGAAAAAGCACCCCAGGAGCAACCTTATCCTGGATGGCCCCCAGGAGCCTGGAAAAGCTGATGCTTTGCTTCAAATCCACTCAGAATAAAATACATAATAAATAAATAAGTGCTTCCAGCTTGCATTGCTTGGGAGTTTCCAGCTGTGCGTGGATGTAGCCTTCACGGTACTCCCCAGAATTCTCAGATGGAATCTTGTTCAGATCGTCCAAAGGCTCTGAGCCCCTCCTTTGAAATCACCCCAGGTCACACTGAAGCGTGCAGTGAGAAGGAGATGGCATGGGGAGGGGCTGAGACAACTCCTGTTGGTGGCTGAACAATTTGGTGAGAATCACAGACACAATCCACTTTTTGCTGGACGGACCCCCCCTTCCTAGTGGGAATGGGATCAGGTGTATGTATCTTTGGTTTCAAGCAACATGGAGGCTTAGAGTCTCATGCCTTTCGAAGGGTTAGAGGAGTGAGAGAAATGGACAGAGTCCTGGATACGGAGTATCCACACAAGGCTCTCTTCTCCTGGAGACACATGGAAGCCAAGATTTCCTTCCTCAACGTTGTCCTTGGGGGAAGAGCAGCCTTGAAGGCCTCAGCACCCGGGGCTGAGGTCTAGCTGCTGCAGCATGTCCTGCAGAGACCCCTGCAGCCTGCTAAGGGCCACCACCTCCGTGGAGTAGAGTGAGGCTTCCAGGACACTGCCAAGGCTCGCCAGGGTGTCCAGGCCATTGGCCCAGGGCAAGGGACAGCTCTTAGAAGAGGCCAGCAGGTGGAGAAGGTCCCGGAGATTCTCCAGGTCGTTAGATATTTGGATCACGTTTCTGGAAGGCAGACTGGTGAGGATCTGTTGGTAGATCGCCAACGTCTGGTCCATCTTGGACAAGCTCAGGACAGGGTGGACCCCAGGAATGAAGTCCAAACCGGTGACCCTCTGTTTGGAGGAGACTGACTGCTGTGCAGGAGGAAGCAGGACAGCAAGCACTCAGCATGACGGGGGGGTCATTCTCAAAGCCCTCTGCCTTCCCCATAGCCATGGAAGCTCCTTCTCTGGGCCACCTCCTTGCCCCCTTCCTCACCATTTTGGTCCAGGCCCTCATTTCCTGGGCCCAGGTAACTGCTGAGCCCTAAGCTGGCCTCTTGGACTCTTGCTCTTCCTAAACCATCTCACCCTCCATTCCAGACCAGTGTTCCCAGGCTGTTCCTTTCTCCAAATGGCCTCTGCTGAAGACCCAGCCATGATACCCTAGTTCTAGTTAGCTGAGCCTCTTCCCCAGGCATCTGCGGTCCTATGTAAGCAGCCCCTCTTCAGCTGTCCCACGCCCTCCACCCCAGCACACTCCTCCCTCCTAGACGGGATCTCACACAGCCCCTTCTCCCTGGGGATTAAGGCTGTGGCAGGGGCCACCTCCCCTCTCTGCCCATCCCACTGCCTGTAACCCTGAGGTGACTACCTCAGCAGTCACCCTCCTTTGCTTTCCTGACAGCACGTATCGATACTGCCCAAGTTGGGACACTCTGGTTCTATCACAGGCAGCCTTGTCAAATGACTATTTTGAAAGGAGACTTAAGAGTTGTTCTCTATGAGATGCTCAAGACTCTATCTAATTCCGAGCTGTCCCTGCTTCTAGACACTTCACTTCTCCCTGGCTGCCCAAGGCCACTGTCAGGCACCCACAGTGGCCAGGAGATACGGAAGTCTCCAGGTGGCTCCATGTGGGGTGGGGAAAAGGGGAGTCACTTGCTTTATCCAATTTGGGTCTCATAACAGCCTTGTGAAGACTATGCTATTCTCATTATCTAGATGACAAAACCAAGGCTTAAAGACATTAAGGAACTTGCTTAAGATGTCACAGAGAACAGAAGCGTGAAGATTCACACTTAGTCTTCCTAATTCCAAATACAGACCTCAGCTGGGAAATGGCTGGAAGTCTAGGCCTGCTGTTTGCAAGTATGCAGAAGGCTGAGTGAGAAGGAGGGTAGACTAGCTCTTCTGGCTGGCCTTGAGAGGCTGGGCTAGCAGGAATGGGGACACTTCATAGGGCCAGGGTCAGCTGGTGCTATGAGGACCCTAATGACAAGCACACCTAGAGATGGGGCAGAGGCCCAGGGAGGCTGAGACTGGGGGTCTGGGCACAGCTGACAGCACACAAGGGGTTAAGTCAGGGAGGAAGGCAAGTGCGGGAGGCAAAGTCAGAGTGGTGAGGAAAGAAGAGGCAGTGGGCACATCTCAGCTGAACTCTGAGGCCCGGTTTCCCCCTGGTAGAGTGAAAACGAGCACATGCAGCCTCCTGATACCAGAGAATCCTACGATGTTTACGTGGAAACACGTGGCAAGGTTAAATGCTCTTAGGGTGGTTTAGAATTGGAGCCACTCACCCCTGAATCCCAGCAGGAAGAGGGGCCAAAGGAAACACCCAGGGAGCCCTGGGCTTTCAAATCCTCCTCAGCTTCCAGCAGGGGCCTGGCATTCAGAAGGCGCTCAATAAATGTTTCTTGGACTATCTGGTTCCAGTCCCACTAGGAGCCAGTGCTGGGCTGGCCACAGTTCTACTTTGTCCCCCCAGGCCCTCCCTACCGTGTGTGAAATGTCATTGATCCTGGTGACAATTGTCTTGATGAGGGTTTTGGTGTCATCCTGGACTTTTCCGATGGGCACAGCTTGAACGTAGGACAGATAGGGCCAGAGCCACAGGAACTGGCACAGAGGTGCACAACGCATTTTCTTTCCCAGGATGTGCTTCTTGGGCCTGCAAACAGAAGGAACCACACGTTGCAAGGGGCTAGCATCTCAGAATACACCCAGTGGCCCCATTCCCAGGTGTGTCACAGAACGTGGGTGGAAATGAGCTTTGCTTTCTGCCCTGGCTGCCACCACCTCAAAGCCAAAGACACATCATGATCTAGATGTGCAATGATGGAATGCATCTCCTTGGGAAGAAGATTATGGCCTGGTCACTAAAACCTCCATGAGGTGTCCTGCAGAGCAGAGCAGAGCAGTGAGCCAGACTGTGACCAAAGGGACGTGGTGGGGACGATGAGGACTTCACTGTGTACTTCAAGGGAAAGATAACCGATCTGGTGTGCGTCCAGCCATTTACTCACTGCATAACTTCAGGCATATCACATAACTGCCAAAGCCCTGCTCCACCTTCATCCCTGTAATGTGCCTATCTCCAGGCTCTATGAGGACCAAAGTAGATGACACCTGTGACGAGCTGGAAGGTGTGAAATGTACTCTACCCCCACCCTATTACTGGAGATTATGTTCTTACTCGTCCTCTCCTTTACCGTCTCCCCGCAGCCTGCTGACACTGCGGTGGCCTTTACCACTGGCTTTGCTGCTCCTTGCTCTCCCTCGGGGAGCCTGAATCCCACCAGCACTCACCGGTCACCTAACACGTCGGACTAGCACTAGGAGCCACGACACCATGGTGAACACAGACGCTCTCTACCCTCGAGTGTCGGGCAGACGCGCTAAGGCAGGAAGAAAGGGCTTTGCAAGGAGAGCAAGATACCACCGGAGCACAAAGCGGGCTCCCTGGAAGAAGTGTCATCTGAGCTGAGTATCACAGACTGAGAAGGGGTTAGCACGAGTAGGGAGTAGCTGTCACAAGTGGCCGAGAAATCAGCGAGTGCAAAGGCATGGAGGCAGGAGACAGCATGACACGGTCACCCAGAATGTGTGAAACTTTCAGTCTTGGAACCATGAATTCTAAAATGAAGACTATGCAGATCCTTGATTAAGCAGCAAAGTTTTAATGAGATACACGAGGCAAAAGGTAATAAAGGTAAGTATAGGCAAGTCTGTGGCCAGTGATCCGTGCTAAGTATGCATGTGTGAGCCTGAGATGATAATAAAATGCAAGTAAATATTAGGACGAAGGTTCTGGAGATGGTAGTAAAGTTAATCTCTGATTTTTGTGTTCTTCCTCGTCTGGGTCTTGATGAAAACAGGTTAATACATTTTTTGTCCATAGGTGGCAATATTAGAATTCATTTTCTGGCAACATAATAAAAATGAGCAATCTTTTTACAGATTATTTGTAATGTTTGAACAAAGGCATTTTTAAAATCTGAATTACAGAAGAGAAAAAAATGAGAGGCGGGAGCCTTTGCAGCCCACCCCACGAGCCTCTGCAGGCTTTGTGGAAAAGCCCAAATTATAAACCACCTCAATTCCCAACCAAGGGCAGCTCCTGTGAACACGGCACTTGGAAACAAACACCCTGCTCTAGGGGAGGCTGTGAAATTGTACCCCCATATCAACTTTAAATATGAAAATCCCTTAAGTAATTTGGGAAAAGGCAGTTCAGATGTTTTTGTGCATGTTTTCTCTCTTAAAAAAGTGAAACTTCCTCTATTAACTACTTATTAGCTGAGCAATGCACCAAATGTTTGTGGAACAGAGCTCAATAGTGCTGCTCCCCAATACGACCCCAGGAGACCCTGGCGAAGGTGGTGGGGTAGTGGTTAGGCCCCGGGGCTTCAGCAGCAGGCTCTGCCCTCCTTAGATGCGTGTCTCTGGGCGAGATACTTAACTCCCCTAAAGCACTAGCTCCTATCAATGAAGTGGAGCTAATGCCACTGTCTGGCTCGATGGTAAATGAGTTGGACCCCTGGCACCCCAGCCCACGGTGTGTGTGTCCAGCACAGGGTGGGAACAGTAGATGCTGGCTTCTTTAAAATTATTACAATTTCCTGACAACACTACCTATAGCCAACTCCGAATCTAGCGTCTGGCCCGCTGCCTCCCACAGGCCATCTCAACAGGGTACTTCTGAGTCTGTCCCCAAACCCTCCTACCAAGGCACAAGATGGAGCTGTATCCTTTTCTAAGATTCATGTGTTGGTGACATCTTCCCTCCCAAGAGAATTTATTACCAGATTAACTCTGGTCATAGTCACTCTCATGTAATGGCCACCCTCTGGAAACTAAACCTAAAAACAGTTTTACAAGCCACCTCCATCACCACGGACAGCATGCTTCAGCGGGAACTGAAAATAAATTGCCGTTCCTTGAAAACACGGATACAGGAAGCTGCCGCTGAGTGAGTCTGCCTAAGAGGAGAGGCCAGGTTTAGGGGAGACTCCTGGGGGCTGCAGAGAAAACCGGTCACAGGTCCGTCTGAGATCAGAGCGCTGGCAAGAACCTGCCCCACCAGGACACGCAAACGTGCTGGTGCACACACAGAGAGAACACAGTAGAAGCTGCCAGTTGTCCCCAGTATCTAGTCCCCCTTCCTCCCCAGCAGTAGAAAATCCCAACCCTTAGGCAGGGCTGTGGCCACTCAACATAAACACTACACTTGTCAGCTTCTCCCAACCACGTGTGGTCATGCAACCGAATTCTTGCCAATTAAACACAAGTAGACGTGTCATGTGGCAGCTCTCAGGACCCTGTCGTGTGCCTTCGCCTCTTCCTTTTTCATCCCTTTCTGCATTCTGATGCCTGGAATGTGGATGTGGTAGCCGGCATTCTAGCGCTAGCTTGGACCGGGAGGACGAAGGCCGGACCTCATGGACAACGGAGCAGGGAGCCGCAGGAGCCTGGGTGCCCGAGGACCTCGGGCAGCCGAGACGCCATGCCGGCCTTGCACTGACTACTTGTCTCTGGACGTGCGCTGGGTGTATGTGAGAGACATGGTCTCTGCCTTGTTTAAACCACTGCTCTTTTCGGTGTCTGCTAAATGCAGCTGAATTTAATTCAAACTGACTTAATGCACCGCAACACGGGCATCAGAAAAGAGTGGACACCAAGCCTCCCTTCGTTCATTTGAGTCTCAGTCCCTGGGTGGGGCCTGGCCGTGGCCAAGAAGGGGAGACAGAAAGGCTGGGAAGAGCATAGTGTGGGGACTGGAAGAGGAAGGATAGCAAAAAGGCAGCAAATGCAACGTCATCGACACAGAAACTGAGACACCATGATTGCTCAATATGACGGTTGGCTGCTAATGTTCACTGATTGCCCATGATGGGCCAGGTACAAAGAATAAAGAGACATGGAACCACAGGAAAACGGGCATCAGGAGTGGAGCGGGACAGGGTAGAGGCTGGGGGTTTCCCAGGAAGCCTAGGCAGGGTACTACTATATTCGATTTTGTCAACTACTTACATATGGTATTTGTTAAAAATAAAAGTAAAGAACAAAATTGTGCCCTTAAGCAACTGGTTTAAGAATTTACATAATTAACCGCAATGCAAGGGAATATGTTTAAACAGATAAAATGCCTTGGGTAACTCACAGAAGGAAGTCATCTGCTTAAAGTTATGAATACTAAGGTTCAGCAAACTGTGTTTGAGTCTGGGTATAGGACGTGGGGAAAGTTAGCTAACCTCTCTGCGCCTCGGTTTGCTTAGCTGTAAAATGGGGGTGACAGAGTCACAATGCCCACCTGGGGCTGTTATGAGATAAAGCAAGTAAAGAGCTAACCTGTGCCTGGCACACAGCCAACCCCAATGTCAGCTGTCATCATTATTATTTCCAGTGAAGGAATCAGGGAGGTGGCGTGGAGGAAGTGGGATTTGATAAAGGCCCTGAGAGTGGGTAGGAATCAGGTTTGGGAAGGTGGAGGAGAGGGCCAGCCCTGGCAGAGGCAGAAGAACATAGGTGGGTTTAGGAGACGAGGCTCCTAGCGGGCAGGAGGGCGTGACACGAGGGTGTGATAGGCCACGAGGCGAGGCGCGGAAGGGGTTGGGCTGGATTGTGGGGCTGTGAGGCTGCCTTCTGCTCTGAGGGGCAAATGTTTTCAGCCAGTTGACTAGAGGGATGGAGACGGAAGTTGGAGGGACACGAGGAGAGGTTTGGGAAAGAGGAGGCTGGGACCTGCTGATCTGCGGGTACTGGCGGGACGTGCAGGTGGCCTGTCCAGCTGCCAGTCGGAACTGGAGTCTGAGCTCCTGGGATGTAGACCGGGAGCAGTGGCTGGGGTGGCCACAGGAGAGCTCGGGGAAGATAGGGGTGGGGTGGGCTATCGTGGGCAGGGAAAAAGGCTGTGGTCAGCGGTCAGCCATCTGCCTGGGCCACAAAGCCTTTTCTCCCCAAAAGTTTCCAAAGCAGTTTTGAACATTTCAGAGCTCTCCTTTTCTAAAACTTAAAAGCTGAACCCCTGAAATGTTGATACAGCATCTTTCTGTCCTCTGAGCACGGCTGAAGCAGAGTCTGGAGAGGGAGGGGCTCCAGGGCGGTGCGCAGCCCCTACTCTGCCATCTCCATCACGCCCTGTGCCTCTGGCTCCCCAGGGCCACCTCGCTCTAGCTCTTCCCGGGCTGTCTTCCTTCGCCTTTAATTAAGGGCCTGCTTCTCCCATCATCTCTACCATCATCCCCTGCCACGGTGCGCTGGAGAAGAAAAGAGAAAAACTAGGAAGAGAAGCCCCTGGGGCAGCCCCGGATAATGAAATGTAATCACAGAAAACAGGCTGGGGCCAGTGGGGCTGCTCAGACGGCTGCACCATCCACCGCCAGGGCTTCCGCCTCTGACTTCACCCGGCCCCACCTTTACTCACAGTGCTCCCCGTGACTCCCCCTACAGCCTCCACTTTGGCTGTTGTGGGCAGGGCTCCTGCCCCTCCCTCCTACTTCCCCAAGAAGCTGGTGGCCTCCAGACCCCGGCTGTCTGGCCTTCCCTCCAGGGGACGAGGCAGACCAAGTGGGGCCTCAGTGTCAAGGTGGGAGTGGGGGTGGACAGAGATGTCCACTCTTCTCCAGACCCAGGCCTGCCCCCAGCCTTCAGATGACAGCAGTGGGGGAG